TTCGATTAATAGAGCGTTGGAAATGCGATATTTTATGTAATAAATGAAGGTTGGAATCGTTATGGAAGTAGTAGTAATTCTTCCTCATCCTATGATCAAGTCACATTTGGAAATGGAAATAGTTCAAAAGATGGTAGCAATAATTCCACTATAGTCTAGATTAATATAATAATATGAAATATAAAAATTTGATATCATTTTCAAATATTGTCATACGAAATCTTTGCAATTCATAATTAGCCTTTAATAGATTTTATGTTAAGTTTTCATTATGTATGCAATAACAATAATATACGTAGATCATTTTTAATTATTCCTACAGTGGTACCTTTAATCCTGTCAAAACTTTTTATGCATCAAGCTTCTCATGCATATGTCGTGCGTCAGATTTGAAGATGCATAAATTTAAAATTTAGATTCGTCAGATTCGTCAAGTGGAATTATCATTTGCGTGATGTGTATAATGAATGTAATAAGTTAACTAATAAAAAGGCAGTATATTGTGTATCCAGTGTCGGATTGAACAACTATTGAAATATTCATGCATTTTATGCCAAAATATTGACAACAATAATTGATCAAAATTAAAAAAAAATTAAAGTTTTTTTTTGAATATTACATTACATACTTTTCGTTACATATCAATTAAATACTTGAAATTAGATAAGGTACGGATATGTCTAAGCCAGAGTAGTTAAGTTAGTAATGGCAAAAAAATGTCACGACCTCATGATCACCGACCATGTAACGTTTTAATTATAGATTATCTTGTTATATGAATGCTTGCTAGCAAAATCATCGTTTGAAAAGAGTTTTAATTTGGAGAAAAATGTAATTAAATAACTCGCGAGCAAATATTCGATTAATTAGTCGAAATAAAGAAAAAATGATGGTCAACACATATGTATGAAAATCACGAACATGAAACAGAATCATGCGTATAAATGTGCATTGACCCACCTCTAGAAATTACGTTAGTATCAAGACTTAAAAAAATGTTTTTCAGCATTTATTCATACGGTTCATCCCCAATTTTAATTTATTTCTGCATCATTTT